CACACACACACACACACACACACACACACACACAAAGGGGGTCCAAAATCCCCCGACAGGTGACTGCGCTGGGGGGGCCCGGCCCCCAACCGGGTGCCCTGCCCGGCCAGGCCGCCCGGGACCTCCCCCGGGCCCCTGCCAGTCACCCGGGCGGCCCGGATCCGCAGTCAGCCTTGAAGTACATTCCGAGTTGAAATCCTGGCCAGAGCAAAACAACAACTTAGAAACTTTGGGCAGTTTGTGGGTTCAAATCTCAGTGACAGTGGGCTTGGCCTTCCATCCTGGACCGTCGGATCGGGTTTTGATCTGATGGCCAAGGAGGACTGCGGGTGGTAGAGCTAATGGCCCATTGGTACATAGCTGGGCCTGGGCAGTAGCTCGGGACCAGAGTTAGTACATGCATTCTGAACGCCAGGCTGATGGAGAGCGGTGCTGGAGATTAGTGCTGTAGTGTTGGTGTTAAACCACCACTACCTCTGCGCCTGTTTTTGCCGACCCTGATTTTCACTGCACGCCGAGTTTTGCCAAGCCAGGGATCCGTTTTTTTTCTTTTTTTTCCTGGTACTGTACTCGGGTTGCATACCTGCCGACTGCTGATCCCGACTGCTGACCGTTTTGCAGCCGACCAGTGGGGCTGACCGGTCGGCGGTCTGCTGACCAGTCAGAAAACAACCATCCACTGATTTTTTTTTTAATCTGAGTTGGGGGCCGTACTGTGCTTGCTGAGTACAGCCCTAATCCGCTGAGAAACTCTTGGGGATGCGGGGGTTGGGGGGGTGGGGTTGTACAGGGGGGGTATTGAGGGGTATAGGGGTGGTATAGGGGGTATTTGGGGGGGTATTGGGGGGTATAGGGGTGGTATAGGGGGTATTTGGGGGGGTATGTGGGTGTTCGGGGCCGGTTTGGGGGTGTTGGGGGGGTGTTTGGGTGTTATGGACTCTAGCGAAATATATACGCCATGGCAATGACCTCAATGACCATCCTCATATTTCTGCCTGTATTTCACACAGACCCGGGCATTATATGACACTCATTCGTGCAGCTGCCCAGTGGGAACTGTGGGATGGTGGGACGATGATTCAGGCTATTTCCAACATAAACGAGTTTTTGGGTGCATTGCCGAATCATACTTTATTCTGGATTATTGACCGACTCTCGTGTGACACCTGTCGGGGCAGAGACGTGGTGCGTCTTGGTTGTGGCATTCATCATCTATGCCATCACCATTATCAATCCATTGCGACTACCACTGTCTGTGCTGAAGGGTGTCCAACATTTCCTCATTGTACCCATCCCTATCACCCAGATATATGTTGTCCCTTTTGTGCCCAAGGACGCTATCAGAACTGCATGATGCCGCACTGTGATGAACGTCCTGCTGTTCTTTTGACATGTGGACAACATGTCCTCTGTCAGGACTGTTTTGATGGGATGGTTCGTGCTAGCCGTCCTGCTGAATGCTGTGCTGGTGCAACTCTCCTTGGGTATCCTTGTGAACATCCACATCATCCTCACCGTAGCTGTCCTATCTGCCGAGGTGGGAACAGTTAAAGAAAAAAAGAAAAAACGAGAAAAAAAGAAAAAAAAAATTATAAGGAAAAAGGAAAAATGTGTTGATCTGTGGGATGTGTTATTTGCTTTGTGACAATTGGATTATCTGTGGAATGTGTCATTTGCTTTGGTTCCCTGTCAGGAGGTTTCCTCCTCCTTTTCTTTACCTCTTTTGCCTTTTGGTTGCGTACAAGTGGGTCCTTGTGACACATGGGGATGGGGGCAGCCAGCGCTCAACCTGTCATCCACGTGGCTGGCCTTGTATGTAAGAGGTGATGAACAGGTGGGGCTTTCCTTCTTTTCCTTTCCTTGTTTTGCGTTTTTCCACCTGCAAAGAACCTGACTGTTCGTAGCTTGCTGGAGTGTATCTCTTCGCATGCATAAATGTCAACACACAGATAGAAAAGCTTCACACAAAGCCAAGTCGAGATGAGTTGAAAACCAGATAGTGCAGCTCATATTATCAAAATCACTTTATACAAAGAGTATCTCGAGTTCAGGAGTTCAGCGCCAACTGAATGCAAGTCTCCCTCGTTCAGTCATAAGCACAGGGCCTGGCTCAGCCAGCGTCTGCCCTCAGACCACAGGTATGGCGCCAACAGGTAGGTATCCACCATATCCAACTCCTTAACCTGTCTCCTCTCTCTCTTTCTCACGAGATCCCTGTCTTGGTTCCCTTGTCTCACTCTGCATGCTCACTCCCTACTTATGAAGATCTACTCTGAATGCTACTCACTGATATCTACTACTAACCCCTCTACTTCCACTAATAATGTTGGCGCAGCTATGG